GAACGGAGCCTTTTAAAGTGCATTGGGCAATGTATATTTTTGGGTCCATAGTCTTGAGTCAGGAAGCTGGCAAGCAAGCCCCTCCAAGAGCCCGTGATGAGGTTCAGTTCGTCACAATACACATGGACATTTATCAGAGTTATTTACTAAAGTGAGAATTGTCAGGAAGTCAAAGTGAAATTCAAGTTTAAGGCCAAAGTAGCTGAACTGAAGGCGTAGTTGATTTGGAGAATATTTACAGCTCGGCCATTTTGGCATTTAAAACATCTACAGAGTTTTTCATCATTTATTGACGTTTTTCTATATGCTATTTAAATGAATCTGTTTGTTGGGGTGAAGGGAGGGTATTTGTGTTTTTTTTGTTGTTTTTTGTTTTTTTTATACCCTAACCGACACTTTTTAGTTTATGCCATATTTTTCATGACACAACAGATTTATCAATCTTTCTATTACTTTTTCAGCAGGAAAGGTATTATTTTTCATTTTGCTTTTTTGGGGTCACTCTAAATTTAGTATTGTTTTGTGAAATGGATATGTCTGTGAATATTAGCAGAATTTAGACAGCTGACACTTTGTAGGCCATATTTAGAGCAATTCAATGGGGAGCTCTCATGTCTCTGGAATTTACACTTCATAGAATTTTACACTGAAAATCACCTATAACGTGTTTTTAAGGGACACTCCAGATGCCTAAAGAACTTTAGTTTCAGTGATTTATGTGTGAAGACAGTGTCCTTTTTTTCTTGTTACAAACAGTTTCAATAAAATTAACCTTGTTACTGTCAGGATTCTGGAACCTAACACACCAACAGGTCACAGAGAGGAAGGGTGCTATACCGGTCCTTAGAGTGGCCGGGCTAAAGCACACTAAGAATAGTCAGGAGACAAGCCAAGTAAAGGGAGCCAGAAAACGGGAGAACGAGAAACAAGCCGAGGTCAAAGGAATGAAGAATACAGGAGAATCGGAATAACAAGCCAAATAATCGGTAACCAGAGAGAAACACAAGCAAACTACAATACAGGTATCACAAGACCACAACAGGGCACTGAGAGACAGGAAAGGTAAGTATAAATATCCTTTGCTTAATTCTGATTGGATAACTTCCAATCAGAATTAACAATCACACGTGGGAGATATCTACGCCTCCCACTGTGATTATGGTACTGTTGCTTTAACGCCGGGTCACGTGACTGACCCCGGCGTTTGCATAAATGCGCGGGCTCCCGGCGTGCAGCGTTATACATGCTGCCGCTGGGAGGCGAGGAGGAGGACGCGAGCAGCGCAAATGGCAGTGAGGACGCCGCACGCCGACAGGTAGGGGAAGGGGAGACCGTGGGCGGCGAAGGATTGAGGGTGAGTGCTGCAAGTGTATTGCAGCCTCCCCTCACAGCTGCCCGCGGAGCCCTGACAATTACACCTCCTGGCTGAAGCAAAACACAAGAGGCAGCAACTGCCCACAGCACCTGCCTTGCAAAGACTTCTCATTGAGCTGCATTGGGAAGTCTGTACTTGGACAGCCACAGAAAGTCTGGACAGGGTTAGAGGGGAGGGCTTGCAAAGACTGCAGACAAGAGATTTCCAGCTTTTGCAAGGGATTTTTGGATATATGCATAATTATTTACATGGTATTATTACTAAACAGTGATTGTAATTTATTGGGGGATTTGGCCAGTGGAGCGTCCCTTTAACTTTTTTCATGAGATGGTCAGATTTCTCATTCATTTTACAGTTGTATATGGAAATTTGTATAACCATATACCGTATTTTCTCTGATCTAATACGCACCTTTATTGGCAAAATAAAATTTCCAATATTTAAGTGCTCATTAAATTCGATTAAATATGGTATAATGATACTATGGATCAATATAAACTGTAGCGTAAAAATTTTTTAAACTTTTATTTGGAATGTCATACTTGCAGATCTATACTCTAACTAATATAATAAATGTACAAACCATGTAGTATATATGTGTGTGTACAGTTATACTCATTGCTGCATGCATACAGCTGTTAGATAATTCTAAAGACATCATAATAGGACATATGATATACCAGGGGTGCAGATATAGGAGGTACTTCCTGTGCAGCACATAAAATATCAATAGGAAATGGTTGACTTGCAAACAGGAAGAGTAGCAAAGACAATTTTCGGAATGACTAGACACGTTTGCTCCCGTGCACAGACCTTGACAATGCGCATTTTTTTTGTATATCAACAGGCTACTGATGGCTTCTATATGTATCTATTATCGTGTTTTCACATTTAACAGATGCTATTTTGTGGTTTAATGCCAGCTATGCAAATGTGTATTTTCAGGAGTTACAGACAGATAAATGTTTGTTGTTGACTTTAGATTTCCTGTTTCTTAATCTTGAACTCCTAACATTACAGAGAGGTGTTAACGAATTTGAAACAGGATGTTTAAAGGGACACGTCAGTTTTGATATTACAAACCTTTTTCATGTTATTTATTTGAATGAAAAAATAGAAAGCATTAGAAAGATTTTTTTTATCCTTAACAAGAACCTACATTCAAGCCCTGTCCAACCATTGAAGTCAATGAGAGAAACAGTGTATTGCTGATTATTCTTACATGTACATTTACAGTGTTTTCCTAGATAATGTATCATTGCTGCATAATACTTCACTTCCAGAGAGGGCCCTCTGTTCTCCAGAATGTTAAACTTAACTGTCTAATGTACATAGGGATTTGGGATAGTGTGCAAGTAACTATTTTCTTTGGGGGGTGGGGGAGAGGGTTGTATGTATTGGAGTTGATGTGTACTATAATTGTTGCTGCCACCCAGGAGTAGTGGGAGTTTGAACGCAGGACTTATTTTTGTATATTTCAACTTACCTTTCAGTTGCATGTGTCGCTGTCCCCACTTCAGCAAAATTATGGATTTTATGGGATAGTGGACACATGTACCTCGCCTGTGCCCTCACTCATTCTGCTCCTAGATCAGTTAAAATCTGCGAACCTCAAGCAAGTAGCAATTGATAACCCAAGAGGTAACTCCAGAGTGACATCTGGACAATACCTGTGTACAACCAAGAGAGAGCTGGCAATAGCTTCATCCTTAAGTGGTGGGGATGGCGTAAGGAAAGGAAACCAGACTTTTTTTCCACCAACAGGTATCTGGCACATGATCCCTCTCTCATTCAGTCTGTGTGAGGAGCTAATGAAAGCAAGGAGAGGTCACACAAAGCCTCCAGTTTCCCCCATTTAACCTTAGGAAGTTTTTAATTGTTGATAAACATGCACATCTCTAATAAAAATTTTTTTTTTTTTAAAAGGTAAAAAAAAAAAAAAGAACTGTCTCAAAGCAAAAGCACAACTTTGGCTGTCTACTTTTGGCTGGGAATTCCAGATATCTCTTTTGATGGATCCACTCCAGTCGTCTCAGGTTTTATTAAAAAAATACAGATTAAGGAACAGCAACATATAAAAATGGCTACTTATAATCACCTATCTCAGCAAACAAATGTGGGGATTCAATTCTACCAAATGGTTATATATATAATGCAAAATGAATGTGATAAAAAAAACACAAAATCAAGAAAATGTAGTATCAAAAATAAACGATTTAAGTAATAGTGCTTTGATGTATATACTCCTAGTGCATACCATATATCTGCTCTATACCAAACGAAAATTATAATTATTCCAAAACCTCTTCAAATTATACTTTCATGTGGACACATCCGTAGGGGCATCTGGATATAATTTTGTATTCAATACATTCACAATGCTCTTACAACAGATTAATTAAATACACTTTAGCTTAATTAGCACTGACACTATTTAATTTGTCTCCCACGCTGGAATTAGTGTAGGACCCACCGATATTGGGTTACTGTGAAGTAGCAATGGGCTTTATCGATATTGTCATATGGTGGACTGAATCTCCATATTTGTTTGCTGAGATAAGTGATTCTAAGTAGCCTTGTAAAATTTACAACTGTATTTGTGTGTGTGCGCTGTTCCTTAATCTGCATTCTGTATATATTTTGGTCTCTATGGTAGCACAATTGCGGAGAAATGCATCTTCCAGAAGTGCCCCCAGTTCACATTTTTTCTTTATTAGCTCAGGTTTTTTTGAGATAATGGGAAAGTTGTCATAATTATCTGTGTTTCTAACTTTACATTTGTATGAAATATGAAACTATAATACACAAACTATAATATACAACAGCGCACATTAATAACTAGGCGTATAATTAAGTAAAACGTTCTAAAAATTATGCTCATGGCACAAAGTCAATATCCCTTGTTTCTATACATAAAACGTAAGTAATTATGATGCAATTTATTAATTACATGAAACTGTAATGCTTACAGCGAGATCACTAATCATACAATAATGCATGCTTAAATATGCTGAACTCAGATCTGAAATGCAAAGTGAATTAAATTAATAATGTAAACTGAAAACGAACTTCAATTATTTATCGATAATATGTCACATGTGCTCACTGCGCAATTTCATCTTCAGGGTTGTTTGCAGTTAATTATTATGCATATGAAACAGTCACAAGTCGAATTCTGCAGCATGTGTGGAATTCTGAGTTATGAATATTGATAGAACAATTCCATATGTAAACACGCTCCAAACAGATACATTGATTTGAATAGCAGGTGTGCTGGGTCAATGGAATTATTGTTGGAAATTGACATCAGGCTATAAAACCACAAAAGCATGTGGGCTGGTCCAACTGAGAATAGCAAAGAAATATGTTTTTATTTAAATGTAGGGGACAGTCAAAGTTACACTTAATAAACTGACCATTTTATGCTATCTGAATAGAATAACTCATGCTTATTCACTCAGATGATTTTTTGGAACGGAATCCATAACTACTACTATTACTAATTATTAGTGACGTCCCGAACGGTTCGCAGAACGGTTCGCAGAACGGTTCGCGAACGGTTCGCCCGCGAACGGTTCGCCACGGACTCATATTGAGTAAACTTTGACCCTGTACCTCACAGTCAGCAGACACATTCCAGCCAATCAGCAGCAGACCCTCCCTCCCAGACCCTCCCACCTCCTGGACAGCATCCATTTTACATTCATTGTGAAGCTGCATTCTTAGTGAGCTGTCCAGGAGGTGGGAGAGTCTGGGAGGGAGGGTCTGCTGCTGATTGGCTGGAATGTGTCTAATGACTGTGAGGTACAGGGTCAAAGTTTACTCAATATGAGTCCGTGGCGAACCGTTCGTGGGCGAACCGTTCGCGGGCGAACCGTTCGGGACATCACTACTAATTATTATAATTATTATTATTATTACTATTAAAGAGACACTAAAGTCACCAAAACAACTTTAGCTTAATGACAGTTTTGGTGTATAGAGCATGCCTCTGAAATCTCACTGCACAATTATCTGCCATTTAGGAGTTAAATCACATTTGTTTCTGTTTATGCAGCCCTAGCCACACCTCCCCTGGCTGTGACTGACACAGCATACATGAAATGAAAATGGTTACACTTTCAATCAGATGTAACTTACATCTAAAGTTTGTTTGTAGATTTCATTTAAATTACATAGCTGGCGATAAGACATTCTAAATTAAGCAGAATTTGCAATAAAGGAAGTATAAACATTAGATGACTCTTTACAGGAAGTTTTAGGAAGGCTGTGCAAATCACATGTAGGGAGGTCTGATTAGGCTGCATAAACAAAGTGATTTAACTCCTAAATGGCAGATAATTGAGCAATGAGACTGCAAGAGAATGATCTATAAACCAAAACTGCTTCATTAAGCTAAAGATGTTTTGGTGACCATAGCGTCCCTTTAAATATACCTATCCAATATTTTAGCAAATGTATCTTTGAGTTCTGAAAAGTGAAATAAGAACAGTTCTGAATTTATCTCCAATCTGCAAGTTCTAGACGTGTCCCCAACTCCCCTTTTTCGGTGTATATTTGGAATCCAGAATAGATTCCTTTTGGGCTGAGCACCACACCCATCCACTCCAGGTGCTTCTTTGGAAGTGACCACAGGAAGGCATAAATTGATGAGAGTTTCTAGAAGCGGTTTAAGCAGTTAGCATTTTAATCTCCCATGTTAGAATTAGCTAAGAAACGATTTTGGGGTACTGTGACGTAGTGATGGTCTTAACACAAAATGGCCATATGGTGGAACTGAATCCCCATATGTCCTTGCTGAAATAGGTGATTTTAAACAGCCTTGCAAATTTTAAACCTGTATTTTTTTTTTTTGTGCGCTGTCCTTAATTTGAATCATGTATTTATTCCATGGCAATATCATGTAAAATTATGTATTCTTCTTTATATTACTATTGATATTTAGAATTCTATTTTATCTTCCTCTGTAGTCTAATCAATGCTATTTCTGTCATGCCTTTTTGTAATAATTGTGCTTTCATAGCATTTGGGTTTTCTAAAATTGCAAAACAATTTTAGTATATTTAGCCAATAAGAGACACTGTAGCTCTTTTTAGCAACTTAACTGTTCTAATCAAGTTTCTTAACATTGTTTTGCTATGGGCACTAGACAGTTAACAAATGCTATGGGCACTATGCAGTTAACAAATGCTATAGGCACTATGCAGTTAAAAAATGCTATAGGCACTAGACAGTTAACAAATGCTATGGGCACTAGACAGTTAAATGCTATGGGCACTAGGCAGTTCCCATGCTATGGGCACTAGGCAGTTGCTTAAGTTGAGTTGTGCATAATCATACACTGAGCTCATCCACTTATAACCCACTAACATAGCACAGAGATATGCCTCCTTTTGTTACTTTATCAACCTTGCTGTAGAAATACTATGTACTATATACTCCTCATAGTCATGCTGTCAAGGTTCATTTCTACACATGCACATATATACACCAAAACATTGTTCATTCTATGCAACCAATATCCCTCACTTATGTCCTTGACTAAGCGGCCACTGGTTCAGATCTGTTATAGTGTGGTTGCAGTCATGCCATACGTGTTCATTATTATAAATATTTCAGTAATTCTAATAATTTGTCTATCAATCTGAGTCAAAGCACAAGTAACTGTTATTTTAATCTTTATCTAGTCCTATATGTGAATCCTCCTGTTCGGTCTGGTTTTTAAATAATTAGAGCAATTCTTTCCACCTCAACCCCAAACCAGAAAGGTCACCAATATAATATGCAAGTCACAGCTGCACTGACCTATGCTACTAAAAGCAAGAAACATTATCATATCAGAAGTACACGTAATCGCATCATTCCACAACTTTCGTATAAATCTGTCTTTAGATAACAGTGTCAACATGACACTATATTTTTATAAGACTAGATGACGGATACTGGTATAGTTAAACTGAAGCCTGTCTGCCAAATGCAGTATCCGTTTGTAAAATCTAATTAAATATTTTAGCAAACCATATAAATTTGCATAGCATTATACTTGCTTTGGCAGTGTAAATGCTTGAATTAAGATGCAAGCCATTAAAATACAAATGTATTGGATTTCATTTTTTAGACTGGAATTGGTAAAATGTACCTTGAGGTTAGACTGTTACAGAATTATTATATTTTCATATTTGTATGTTTTTATTAAGGATAGCTGTGCTGATGTTCATTATAAGACACTCTGGTGTTCGATATTATTTCCATTCTCTTGTAGGTAATGTAGATGTACCATCCGTTACTATCCCCATGGTGTGGGTTTTTGTTGTGACTTTTGCATGTGATGAGTTGACATTTTTTTAGGGCTCCATGTCAATCATTCCTTTTATATGTCCCTGTTTCTTTCAATGCCCCATTGTTCACCTACAATACATTGTTTCTTTAGTACAAAAACATAAAATACAAAAGGTGGGGAAAAACACAGTTTTGCCATTTATAAATTATACACAGCTAGTACAGGAAGGAGAAATACACACACCTCTTTGCACTGCTTTTTAAAAAAAAATACTTTTTATAACTAGGATTTTAGTATGTTGGCAGTTACAAGTCATATGTTACAAGGAACAACAGCACAAATAGTTCTGGTTTTAGACCTATGCCTTCCTAGGTGAAGAGGTCAGAGGAAAAAGTCACAAGTCACTCTTAAGAAATTATGTCCCATCAATCTTTGTGCAAGGATTTGCTTGCCACTTTTATCATGCCCAATGATATCATGACTGAGGCTGGTAGGAGTTAAAATAGCACTAACAACAAAAGGAAATGCTGGCTAATAATTGTGCAAATTTTAGTAAATCAATTTTTTGCAATGATTACTGATTACACTGTAACTGCTTCATCTCATAAGAGTGGTTATTGTGTCTGAAGCCCCTGGTGCCATACAAATATTTATTCCTAACACTATAGAGCCCTAGTCACCTAAACGGTAACTAGGGCCCTGTTCCGCGGCAAATAAGTGGTTAATTAACCATTTATTTGCTTACCTTAATCCAGCGCCGAGCTCCCTCGGCACTGGTGACCTCTCCTCCTCTACCGACATCAGCTTCCAAGTGAAGGGAGTATATGCTTCGAATATACTCCATTGACTACAACCCTCTGATGCCTGCCACGCAGCCACTGCCTTACCCATTCAACAATATTGGAATCCAAACTTAAAGATTGCAGTTTATTGATAAGCCTTCTATGTGCAACAGTGTCAAAAGCCTTACTGAAATCTAGGTAAGCAATGTCTACTGCACCACCCTGATCTATTAGAAGAATTACATAATCTTTGCCTTAGATATATATTCATTAGGAGCCGGGCTGTGGGTGGCCAGGGACCCTTATTTAGTATCAAACTGCTCAAAAATGCTTTAACACGTAATGGGTATAGTTTTTTGGACAAAAAGGTTTCCTTTTAAAACTGGTCACTGAACTTTTGCTTCACACAACAATTCTCTAAAAAGGTAGACACCCAGGAAATATCGTTTACTTACATACAATGTGTGTATGGAATATTACTCGTATGTAAAATAAAAAAGAGGAAAAATCACATACTATAATTCTGTTAGGTTAATTTCCAAATAATCATAAATAAATGGGTTCAACTCACATTGATAAGAGCCTATGATAGGACAGGCTCAAATCACACATGTTCCTGTGCCGTCTGGCGGCACTTTGCCCTTTGGTCATATAAAAGATGATCCTCAAAGAAAGAGATACAAATACAGAGAATTCTCTGGTGAAGTATATTGTGACTGATATAAATATTAAAGCACAAACCAAATGGTTGCTCACCTTCTATAGAGCCCTTATAGCCTGGCTCTAGGTGTGATCGCTTGAGTGTCAGTATAGAGGACACCTCCCTCCTTATTTAGAAGCAGTAGTGAAGGTAGCCAAGATGGACTAAAAAAGTACTTTTTTCCCAAATAAAAAAAAAATTAAAAATGAGCTAAAATACGCTTAAAATACAAAAAAAGTATAAAATTGATCAAAATAATGTCCACATAAGCTCCTTCTGCCGAGATGCGTTTCTCCCAAATCCTTGGGCTTCCTCAGTCGACTGGTTGTATAGTGGTTGTCTTATGTAGTTCAGGTTAGTTGTGTTGCTTTTTTATTAACATGTGCAGATAGGATCAGTGTTATTGTCCATCTCGTTATATGGTCTATAGAGGCTTGAGTGTGAGTGGTGTGTATGGTCATCTGGTAGGTTGCGTTGAGTTGTTGCGTGTGAGTCTATCCTTGATTGCCAAAGCCTTGTTTCCGATTGGGTGTTTCATGGATTCATCTGTTGTTCGGTGGTATTTGAGCCTGTCCCAATCTATGGTGGTCGTTCTCCGTGCTTTAGGTGTTTCTGAATGTGTAATGTCTATGCCTATAATGTGTGGTGTTGCTTGTGAGTTTTGAGAGTGCCAGTTGTGTGGGTGATGCGAGGTTGTGTGATTTGTTGTTCATTATGTCTTGGGTGTATGGGAGGGAAGGGGTGTGGGTGGTGAGGGGGCCGATAGGAACGAGGGGGGTGGGTGATGAGTGGGGGATTGGAGGGAGTGGGATGTTTGGGGGTTTGGTATGAGGGTAGTTCCCCTGGGAAGGCCACATGCCCCCGGTTTCTCCCTTATATCCTTAGTCCCGGTGATCCAGGGGTCCCAGATTTTGTGAAAATGTTTGGTCGTGTCATGTAGGAGGGTTGAGAGTTTGTCCATTTCCATGGTTTCTTTGGTTTTCTGGAGCATTGTTGTCAGGGAGGGGGTGGTTGGGTTTCCCCATTGTTC